AAGATATTTCTGTATCTTATACATACAGCAAAAGCCAAACCCTTCCGGCCCAGAATTTGCTCAGGACCCACTGTGGTCCCTCCCTGGGAATACCCTCCAAGCTGCCTCCAGCCCTCCGTTCCCTCCTCCATTCTTCCCAGAGCCCCCTCCCGAGTCCTCGGCTGCTCCAAAAGGACCCAGCGAGGCTGCCCACCCACCCCAGCTCTCCCCCCGCACGCACCTGGGACTGCGCCTGCACAATGCGCAGCACCTTGAAATAGTTGGTGTTGTCTGTGCTGCGTGTATTATACTGCTCCACAGCAAAGGCAGCAGCTTTCTGCACCCCATCGTCTGTGGGGGATGCGGGGGAAAGGCCCCCAGGTATCCCCACCTCCTCTAGCAGCACCAAGGGCAGCGTCAGGAGGGCACCAAGGAGGAAGAGCGGTGCTGGGCGAGGCAGTGGGGAGCACGCCATGGCAGCTAGGGCGAGAGAGAGAGAGAAAGAGAGAGAGAGGCTGGCAGGTGCACAAGCAGAGCGAGCAAGTGGCACAGACCAAACCCTGTCCAGCAGTGATAGATATAGTCAGGCATGGCAGGGGGTCCTGGGAATGTTTGTAGATAATTATCCATATCTTATTTGCCCAAAATTATTTGCCCACATACCAAATAGGAATTATTAAGTAAATAGTAACACTGGAAGATAGGAACTGCATTGGCATGACAAGCTGATCCAAATCTCAGATAACAAGCACACAGCACTTAACCCCATTCTACCTCTTTCACCGCCTTAACGGAGATTAGAGTAACCATCCCACATGATTTACAGTAATCCAAAGCTCAGGGAAGGAAAAGGGAAAGAGAGGAGGCGAAGCTACTCTTGAAAAGGATGACAAAATGCGGGATAATAATTCTTTTTTGTAAGGCCAACCTCACCAAAAGCTGCTATTTCACACATTAGCCATATTCACATGATACAGCAAGCCATCAACCTCATTTTAGCCAACGGGTAATCCCCAATTTTACAGTTTATAAATCAGTATGTTCTTATGGTTTTCAGATTTAAGTCCTGCCTCTCTTCCAGAGAAGGCTTTGTTCACACTTCACATGAAGCCATACAGTGATTAGCTTAGCAATTGCTTGAACCCAGCCACTTTTCTTTCCAAATCAAGGTTTACAGCTTAATGTACTGGCTAAATTGGTACAGTATGGCACACTGAATTACAAACTTCCCGACTGCATTTTAGCCAGAAAATGTGGCTGGATTGCATTAATTCAGTAAACTCTGGTTAAGTCACGCTAATACAGCTGATGGGGACTGAATTTGATAGTGGACCTGAGTATGTGGAAGTTGTACCTGCATATGAAG